GCCTTCTTTGAGTGCTGGCTTCTCCAGGTTTTCGCCACATTCCAGGGAGGGAGATAGAAACCAAAGCAAACAAAGTGCCCCCAAAGGACCCTCTCCTCCCTCCAGAAAGCTTCTATTTTTAATTCTCTGCAGCTTTTAAAACAGTTGAATGGGGAGGTTTCAACAGTCTGTGGTGGAAGAGAATTCCTGCTTTCTCTAAGGACGCCCACTTTAGATAATCCCAGCTGGCCATGGGACCCGAAGGCCCGGGCTGGGCCAACGGGTTTTCTTGGCAGTTCCTTTTCAGCACACTCTGTCATCACAAAGTAACTTGTAACAACTGTGTTTTCGACTCCACAAAGAAGTAGAAAGCATGTTTGGAGCTGCTTGCTAGCTGCATGCAAAGCCTATCTACTATCCCCCTGAGCTCTGATGCTACAAACACCTTTCACCAGTCTAGTGCCTGGTACTTCATGTGGGCACTTGACTTTCAACCAAGGATCCATAGGCTCTTTGTGGGATTTCTCATCTGGCCCACATCTACGCCGCAAGGTGGGTGGCAAAAGGCGAGCCCATCTTTGCCATGTGGGGAAACATGGCAGACACATGGGACATGGCAAGTGGTTTTCCCCAAGCATGGACAGAGGGATGTTAGCAGCAAAAGTAAACATTCCTTGCGAGGCTCTGTCTGGTTCGGGGCCTCAGGGCCACTGTGTCCAGACACACATTACAGGGTGCCATCCACTAGGATCCAATGAGCACTGTTGTCCAGCCGCCGGGATACCCTGTCAGCGGACGTTTCTTGCACCCTGATTCCCAACAGTCTGTGCTGTGGCCACACTGGTCCAAGGTGGGAGCAGCACTGGGCAGCCCTCAGCATGGGGACCAGGGGAAGAGCAGAATTTCTTGGGCTGTCCTTCTGTTAGCCCAGGCTGCCTCGTTTCAGCTGTCTCTATCTGCAGGGCGCCCTTTCAAAAAGACATATTTAAGGCAATTGGCCATAGAAAGTACTAGACCCAAATAACCTCTCAGGGTTCTTAAGGACAGGCCTTGCAGGGTGGAAGGAAGCGCCAAATTAGCTGCGGGTGTGAAGGTGATGAGAAGGGTTTCAGCTGAGTGGAGAGTTAGACAGCCCTGATTTCAAAGTTTTCTCTGCCTCCTAATGTTACAGCCATTAAACCAAGAATTTAAATCCTCTGCCAAAATGCTCTTTCCTAATACAGATTTCTTACTTGGCAAAATACTGCTTATAAATGTCTCCTCCTCTTCCCTCCAGCTTTCAGAGCTCAACTAAAGCCCATTTTATATTAAATAAGGAACAAAGCAGTAGAGACCGAGAGAACTAATGTGCCTTGCCCATCCCCTGCCCGTTGTTTCATCTCAGCTCTGAATGCAGTGAAGCCCTATTAGTAATTCAGCCATGAACTTGCTGCATAAACTGGGGGAGATCTGGAGCATATGTTTTCAATTCATTTACACTTGACTCCTCAAAACAGGCTGCCTTTTTAAAAAGAGCTATTTGATGTTTAAGGAATTATTTCCACCTTTTAAAATAAACCTTCCAGAGTCTTTCTCCGTCCACAACGGGAAGCTGAAAGGATGCTAAAAGAATAGGGACTCAAGCGCAGTAAGGTTCAGGGACGGTTCAAAACTCAGAGCCATGAATTTAGAGAGGGTTCAAAAGTTGGCAAAGTGAACCCTCTCATCCCTGCCCACAAATAATAAATAACAATCACAACAAGGAAGAGGAGAAAGGGGAAAGCCACTGGAAAGCCATAAGTTATCCTGTCTTCAGCCTTACAGCTCTCTCCAATAAAGCAGGAGTTCTTCAGAGGACTTCGGTTGTGCTGCCTGCAGGGAGCTGCGCCTGTGTCTTCTGTCGTAAATTACCTTGCCCGGGATAAGCTTTCCTCCAGGTCCAACAGACAAGCAGCTCTGCAAGACCCATCACCCAGCTCGGGGCTTCTTAAATTATCCTTCATCTGGTTGTGACATCTGAAAAGCTAGAGGGAGAACGATCACCCCCAATCTGACCTTCCCATACCGCTAGGGCTTTCTTCCTTATAAAGGACTCCACCGCAAGAAATAGACACAGCAGCATCCTATTTGCAAACAGAAATAGGGGCAGGAAATAGAGCTTTCCATCCACACGATGTTTTCAAACTTGTCCACGCTAAACTAAGGATTTTTTTTTTCTTTTTCATTGAGCTGTGACCCTCGGTCCTTTTCCCAACGGACATAGCTTTTTCCCATCCCGACGCTTCAAACCATGAAGCAAGGAAGTGAGGCAGGGCTGGAGGGAGATTTCAGTTTCCCTTCATTTGCACTTTGCAGTCAACAACCTGGCCGCAGCTTCCCGGCTGTATTCAGATGACTGTGCGCAGACAGCCATGTGCCCACAAACATGTGAGGACCTAGACTTTTTGAGTAAATGGCAGCAGCGCCTTGAAATGTGATCAAGCCTTGGGAACAGGTACCAGGCCAAGAGAAATAACTCCTATCCATAAACAGTTCCATAGTAAATCAGAAAGCCTTTTCTTCCATATGTCACCTGACATGTTTAATTTGTCTGCTTTGACAGGATTGCGGCAAGCAGAGCTGACCGTTGGTGAAATTAGAATGGGCCTTTGTGAAGAAGGGCAGGCCATCAGGCGTGGAAGGGCACGGTGAAGGGTGGGCATCTTAGAAAAGCTAGTGGGCTCGCCCCGTGTGATGGAGCCTGAAAGAAGGGAACAAAGATTTCAGGCATTACAGGTTTGAAACACATTCAGCCAATGGGGAGACACAGTAACTGTCATATCATTCAAGAAATTACTTTTTTATCTCCCGTGCTTCTGCCTAAAATTCTACCTTTAGCATAAAAGCTAGGAGATAACATAGATCCATTCATTTTCATTTCAGCTTTTTACCTCTGGAACACAAGATTTACACCAGAGACGGGAAAATGTACTCTTCCCAATGTCTGCACCTCTTGAACAAGGGGGAGCCAGTGGATTTGTTAGTGTCAGGTTAGCTAACATTGGATCTGGTCATACAATTTGTTGTGAAAGGACAACAAAAGGAAGAACTCTTTATCTGGAGAAGGAACACACCTTGAACTGGCCAACAAAATGGCCTGTGAATACCTACACTTTATTTATTTAGGAAGAAGGGATCCTGGGGACCAGCTATGAAGCCGGACGCTCCCTTCCCTAAACTAGCCAGGATACCCTCATCGCCATGGTATCAAAGAAGACATTATCTTCATTTCTGAATCTCTGTGGAAAGCAGACCATTTAATCCTACCCTGCGAAGTAGGAATCATCTATGCTCAGCTTTGCAGATGAGTAAATAGAGACCTGGACAGAGATCAAGTCATTACCCCAAAGCAACCTAGTGCCAAGAACTGCATTCAACTTGCCATCGGTGATATACATATATCTTAATTCTTTATTTTTGCCCATTTCCTCCTTTCTATTTTAATATCAGGGAAGTATGATCCACATCCATAAAAGTGCATAAATAGTCAGCTCCACAATCCAGCATCTGGATCAAGAAACAGATCATTTCTGACTCCCAAGCCTCCCTGGTGCCCTCCTTCATTACTTGCCCCCATCAACAATTATACTCCATTTCCCGGTTCGTACCAGGGGTGCAGGGTGGGGGATACCATATTTGGCTATGAGCACGTGCTTTGGAAGCAGCCTGCCTGGGCTGGAATCCTGCCGTAGCTTTGACAAGTTGCTTCACTTCTCTGTTTCAGTTTTCTCAACTTTAAAATGGGGTTGTTCACAGAACCGCCTCACAAGGTCATGGTGAAGATTAAATGCCTCTAAAGAGCTGAGATCAAGGTAAATAGAAAAGCTCGGGGCAAACTTTGAGGAGGTACCAGCTCCTATTATTGCTGGAACATTTGCTCCCCCCTCTCAGAGACTGTCCATGGGAGACTGAGAATATCCAATACCAGGACAAGGGAGAGGAAGACAGATTCCAAGCAAGCATGTGCTGAATGTCAACAGAAGAAATAAACCCATCTCTAGGTTGGGGAGAGGATTAGAGCCGAACAGGGTGAGGACGAGCTAAACTAGACAGCTTTCCAGTTGCCCAGATTCAAGTTGTCTGAGTAAAACTATTATTTGAAACAATATGCTGTGTACCTGTGCAAATGCACACACCAAAGAGAAGCAGGCACACATGTTGTTTTAGATCATCCATGAGCTTTCTGTGACTCTCATAGTCTAGATTTCAATGGATACTTTTAAATTTCCCGCAGCAGAAAGAAATGGGCATGGAGTCGTTTCGACCCAATTCACAGTGTAATTCCTGACATAACTTTTTAAGTGAAATAGATTCAGGCATTTTTCCGTGGCACATTTTTTCTTTTTCTTTTTTTTTTTTTCTTTTCGCAACTTGCAATTATTTTTACCCATTTAAGTTAGAACTTCTCAAACTTCTCTGCAGTGTAAATCAAAAGTAAATAGATTGTTTGAAGCATAGGTTCTGAGAAACCAGAAGCCTCAGGAAAACAAAAACACAAGATTGAGAACTTGCCATGCAAATTTCCTTTCTTTTTTTTTTCCCAGCCCAAAGGGAGGCATTTACTGCAACATCTACAGATTTAATGAAATACTTAACCAAGTTATCAAAGTTAAAAAAGAAAAGATAGAGAATGGTACAAACATATTTCAAGTAATACTAAAAAAGACAAGCATATAATAGCAATTTGAACGAGTTGACTACAATAAAGCATTAGCACAGTTTAGGTTTCCAACAAATGTGACAAAGATTGAGGCCTGATACATTGATTTGTGCAGTGAAGACCAAGTTCAGGAAAACTCAAAATGAATTAGGAAAGAATCATGCCTGATTCCTCTCCATCCCTGATCCACCCCTGCATCCTCACCCTCCCTCTCTTGCCTCTGGTTTTCCTTTTCATATTTGATTGTGAGATAAGCAGACCAGAGATAACTACTAAACTCTAACACTGTGCACTTTCCAGTTCTGATAGATCTTTTCAAGATCTTACAGACAATGTTACTTACAGAGCTTTTCAACAGCGTGGCCATGTGGCCGGCCAGGCCCTCTGTCGAAAAGGAACAGAACGCTTCCTTGTGGGTGGCTGACTGGAGCTGGAACAGTACATGATGTTCAAGATAAGAAAACGGAAGTTCCGAGCACTGAGCTTGTGTGGTTTAACCAAATGAGGTAAAAGAAGAAATGGAAGGACAGTGAGAAGCTGCCTTATATGCAGCCTCATGTCAGAGCCGGTGCGGGGATTTGGAGTCGGGCAGCAGCTCTCCCAGTCAGGGTGGGATGGCCTCATCCCTGCTCCTTTGTGCTGCAAAGATAAAAATATGAGATGAAGCAGCTTTGTTACCTTTTAGGGATATTGTAAATACCAAAGAGATCATTGTAAAGTGAGTTTTAATGCCCTTGAACTTGCTTGGAAAGATAAAGTAAATTGAATTTATAAATTCTAGTCCAGCTGCTGAAGATTGTGTCCACCCTTTTCCAAAACCGGGGATTACTGGTTGATCCCTTAGATTCCTCCAAAGCTTTTGGCGATTGCACTCACTCTGAACAGGATGCTGGCCACCATTACGGCCACTGCAATTGGCCTCCAGACTTTGACCCAAGCTGACCCAAAGGTGGACCGCATGACCAACTTGCCATCCAGAAGAAGCCCATATTACCACCACCTTCTTCTGAACCTTGGGTTCCTCATCTGTAAAATGAGGATGATAAATAACATTATTGGTTCCTGCCGTGGGGGTATTTCTGCTCCACCTGCTGTAACCTACAGGCGAGCAGGGTAATAGACCTGGCCATAGCTAGCTCTGTGACCCTTAGCAGGTCACTTCACTCTCTGGCTGTCCATGTCCTCATCTGTAAAACAGGAAGAAGGTGAATTCAATGGTATATGAGTCTTGTTTTGACTTGGCTTCTCTCATTTTGACTCACATTTTTTGGTCTCTCTCTTGTTCGTGGACTTCTGACAGGAGCTATTGATGCCCCTGGCTTCATCCTCAGCTCTCCTCCATGGGTACAACTTAGATTCTCCCCTTATAGGTCAAGAGGCTCACATCAACTCAGGTCCCACCAGTCTGGCTAGGCTCACCCTGGCCTGATCATCCCCCATCAGGGGAAGGGGAGGTGGGGGTATGAACTGACCCCCATAAGGAAGCCATTGCTAAATAAACAAAATGGACTTCTCCTCAGCCCCTTCATCCCCCATCAGGGGTTTAAGGATGAAAATTTTAAGAATTTCAAGATGGTGACATATGTGATTTCAATGGATAGTTCCCCGTCAGGGGAAGGCGGGGTGGGGATATGAACTGACCCCCATCAGGAAGCCATTGCTAAATAAACAAAAGGGGCTTCTCCTCAGCCCCTAGACTCTCCTCCTTGACTCACCCCTTATGCTATCTTCTGGGATGGTGCCTTTTGTTTTTTTCAGGTATTCTTCTCAGTAAAACATTTTTGAGCACAAACACCAATACAGATTAGATTTATACAGTATATATATCTAATGCCCTGCTGCTACGTTTTGTGCATTCTGAAAACACAAAAGCAGTTCCCAAGAGTCCAAGAGCAGGTCCCCCGGCCTGAATGAGCCCCTGTTCTCAGCACAGGAGCATCACCCCAAGTCAGATCAGCTCTGGGCAAGTGATCTGTGTCATCAAGCAGGGCCCATGCTCAGTAGGGCCCCTTGCTTGGTTAAATCAGGTATGTCACCATCTTGAAATTCTTAAAATTTTCATCCTTAAACTCATGAGGTCCAATGGGGCAAAGGGGCATGCATGTGAACAGAGGAGATATGCACAACATAGGTGTCCCTCAACCCTTGCTCCCCTATTCACATATAGCTTTGGCAATGCCTCTCAGGCACAGCATTCTGGTGGCCCCAGCATGTGTTGGAGTTTAACGAGACTCAAACTGAGTACAAGGTAAGTGTGTTATGGAAGCCATCTGCTTCCAGAGTGTGATAGAATGTGCACGTTTCAAGACGTGAAATAAAAACAATTGAGTTAGTTTTGTGAAGTGTTTCCACTGTTCTGGTAAGAATTAAATTCGTATGCATGTACGCAGTACGAAAAACAAATTGCATAATTTCAGTGATTTTGCAGACAAGTTAAGTGCTCTTCCATCCCCATTTAAAATTGGCACTCCACGATATAAAGATGAATGGTATAATTCATGCTAATAATTTAAATTTTTAATTTTTGTTTACTTAAAATGACCATCTGACAGCAAATAAAAAAGACCATGGCAAGTTAAGAAAAAACCATGACAAGTTAAGAAAAACTTTTTTCTATTTTGTGCCTCTAGTGCCCTTTCTTTTGTGCTCTTTGAACAAGAAGACTCACCATCTTAAGCTGCAACCAACTTTGCTTCCAGTCCCCTGCCCCATGTCCAAATGTCCAACCTGTCTCCATCTAGGGTGAGTTCACCTTACTTCCCTCTCTCACTGGAAGAAGGAGAAGATTCTGCTTCCGTTTCACCCCAGGAAGGGATCTGTCTTTCCAAGACCATGGTTAATACATTCAGTTGTTTCATGCTTCGTATTTCATTCATTCAACAAATATTTGTGTGTTTATACAGTTAAAATAATGACCTGTCAAGTAACTGCCCAAGAGAATAAGTACTTCGTCCACCCTGTTTCTGACACAGCAGAGAATTCCTGCTGAAATGGAAAGATCTCAGTTCGGAAGAATACTGCTAGGAAACTTGGGGACTGAGCCTAGGTGAACCACCCCTCAACATTCTTCACCCACACTCAGGAGCTAATGATTTCCAGAGGTGGCCACTGCAAGGAATTCACAGGAACACGGGTCACTGTGTCAAGGATCATGCCAAGAAGAGAAGGTCACCAGTTCCAAATATTTCAGAGGTGAAAAGGTCATTCTTATAAATACCGTATCCTTCACATTCAGCACACCACGGTACATGCTTTGTCACAGTTTGGTGGACCACCAGGTGTCACCGACAGAGCCTCCACCTAAAAGAAATCTTAGTCTTCATCAACCAGATGTCACTCTTACATCTTGGTCAAAGGCTTCTTCCAGAAGCAGGCATGGGTCAGGCTTTTGTGTTGGAATTGACTAAGTAAGTGGTTCATAAGGGGTAGCTCGGAGACCTCTGGAGATTCTGGAGACCCTTTCAGTGGTTCATCCAGTTAAAACTATTTTCATAATAATACTGGAATGTTATTTGCCTTTTTTCACTCCCATTCTCTCATGAATTTATAGTGTCTTTTTCTAGAAGCCATATGACATGAAGATTCCATTGCTCTGATAGCTAATGAATGGAATGGATATTCTTGTATTTTAAAGATGTCTCCATTCTAATTTCCAATACAGTTAATGTTTATAAGTGTCAGCTCCCTTTGATCAACAATAATTTGGAGTCCCGAGACCAGAATGTTTGAGAAGTGCTGGATCAAGTGAAGTAGGTATTCCATTTCTCCAAAGTTGGGTCTATTCTCTCCTTCCCAAGATAATTCTTTCTCACAGATCCAGCAGTTCCAGTGATCCTTATGACTCACTAAGGAGATTGCCATGTCAATGATCAATGGGCAGGTGAGTATAATTCAGCCTCAGTCACTTTGACAAGCAGAATACTAAAGGTGAACACCTATGGGACTCTGCAAACTGACTCTTCATATGACATAAGCCACACACTATGTTTTAGGTAAGCAGGGGGATTTAAAATGTTCTTGCACAAAGAACGGTCCAGTATATATTGATTTTTAAAGTATGTTTAAAGGATATAACTATGTTTCCCCAAACCAGTTAGTTAATTAATTAATTAATTGACAAGTTAGAGAAATTGCATCCCACAAGGCATATCCCTGGAAAAGGAAATTTCTACTACTCCTAAAATGTCTTCAATACACACACACACACACACACACACACACATGAAACCTGTCATGGACACATATGGTATTTAATGTATACCTGTTACAAAGCAACCAATGCTTTTACCTTTTCATGAACTGTGAGTCATTCTGCCCCAGAGAGGGCTTTCTGAGCTTCATAAATATTGATCATACTCCCTAAATTCTAACAGGCAGTTTCCTCAAATATGACTGATACTTCTCAACTTCACTCTTTATTCTCCGTATTCAGTGTTGACCACCATGGAGGAAAAAGACATTCCATGTAGACAGAGACTCCGGACAACTGGAGCTTAGCCACTTCAAATTCCAAGTCTGTCTGTGTGTCTTCCTTTCTTTCTTCATCCCTCCTCCCTCACTCCCTCTGGTCCATTCATTCATTCATTCATTCATCACCATTTCTGACCATGAGCCAGGAATTGTGCTGGGCCCTGAGCGCACAATAACAAATAAAGCAAAATGTGGCCCCCAAAAAGCTCACACAGTCTTCTGGATGTAGAATAGAATTTGTCCTAAAATTTATCTCAATGGTCTTTAAAGTGACGTATGTGAAGAAAATATTAGAACTTCTCATTTGTTACTGTGTCTGTTTTGAGGTATAAATAATATATTAGTTTAGCATCACATGCATAAACTATAAAATATATGACTACTGAAAGTGAGTACCCCCCAAATTTTTACTGACAGGGTGTTGCAGTTAAGAAAGTTTAGAGACACAGATTGAACATGCTTTGCTAGGCCTCCTTTTTTAAAAGAAGGAGTCAGCTTGTTGTCATCATGGACACTTTCTTGGCTGTTGAGTTAATCATAAAATTAGTATATGCTCTTAGCTGGTTGGTCTGTGAGGGAATTAGGAGACGATATACTAGATCTTCTCTTTTGCAGAAGCAGCGAGACCCAAAGCAGCGATTAACTTGTCTGAACCATAACCCAATTTGGTGAAGGAGTTAGCAGTGTTTTTGAAAGTGTGATTCTGAGTCACCATCACAGTGGGAGAGGCCTCGTGGAAATGCAAAATTCTGGCCTGAGGATCTGGACTTTTTTAATCCAAACCTCCAGGACCAGGGCCCTGGCTCCAGGCTCTGTGTTTACAACAAGCTCCCCAGGAGATCCCCGAGCACTCTGGGGGCTTCCGTGGGGGGAATGTGGAGACCAGGCTCTCTCTCTCAGGCAGGTTGTCATGGCTTTTAGAGCAGGAACTGTGGTGTTCAGTAACAGATGTGCTGTGCTGTTTGACCTGATATAAAT